CACGGAGCACTTCCCCAAGTCAGAGCACCCTGTTTGAAGCCCAGCTTCTCCACTGACTGCTCTGACTTTGCACAAGTCCGCTGCCTCTCTGGGCTTGGACTCCTCCTCTGTGTGGTGGGGATAAGAGCATAACTGTCCCCATGGGATTGTTGTCAAGACCCAAGGAAACAGGGCCTGTGAATTCTCTGCCCTTGCTTTTCTTTAGAGCCTCAGAGAGAGGAACCCCAAACCTATCCTTCCTCTCACTTTATTTGAAGAAAGTACTACCTAATACCTGCTCTGTGGGTGGATTCTGGAATCTGAATCAATACGTATCCAGCTAGAGGTGCTGGTTGCTCTGATTTGTTCCCGAACATTGGCACCACCTCTTGACATCTGCCCCCTCTTTCTTCCTGCCTGGTGATCAGTTTTTGGATCACAAGGATCTTATCTGAGGCCTCCTTAGCTCCCCAGGGTCCACAAAATATACAGCAATGCTCTGTACCAGGGAACTCAAGGTCAGTTGATCAAGAATTTGTTTAAAAATCCCTTCTTTTCTGGGATTTTCCCCGTCTCCTCCCATCATGCTGTGTGTGGTCTGTCACGTATGTAGTTCTGTGCTCCCCAGTTCCATGCTCCCCAGTACCAATTCCTTAAGTACATCTCATCACAAGTTCTGAATGCTGCTCAAAGCCACGTGAGGGGAAGGGGCCATTCCCGGGCCCCAGGGAGAGTTGGAATCAGTGCTTCCAGATGCAGGGCCAAGGGAAGAAGGCTAGTCCAGTTTCGTGAATGTGGTACCGAGAAATGGACAGCCTTCATTCATGGCTTTTTTATGACACAGTCTCAGCATTACTGACTCTCTTACAGTCTGGTCAGTATGGAATCACAGCCAGTTAGAAGATGTAGGATTTTGGAAACTGTGGTCAACCGTTAGTCCTTTATGCCACCTAAAGCACAATGAGATGTGATGAGTGCAGCTGGCTGCTTGCATCACCCTCACCCCCACCCCTCTGCCACCCTGGGGAGCAGGATTGGTCTTGGTGACACACCAGTCTTCTCAGCAGCATCCACTCTCTTGGGTGGCTGTCCATGGATGACTGGGTAGCCCCCAGCCATGGAACATGGCTGCTTCTGCTTGCAAGTATGATCACCAGTTCCCCAAAAGCCAGTTCAAGCAGCGCCACAACTCTGAATCTGGAGAGACAGAGCCCGCTGGAACCCTTCATGCCAATAACATGCCAAGGAAGAGGTCCTTCTGGGGCACAAACTCCTCTGATGGTGTTCCCAGGAAACGCAAGTCCGATCAAGGAAATCTGTGATCCCAGGGACCACCCTCCTCCAGACAAGATGTTTGTGGGCTCTAGGGAGAGAGTTTAATTCACAATGGGACGGGGCCCGAGGTTCCAGCATTCAGTGACTGCTCCGTATTAAGTATGGAGGGGACAGAGCTGGATCACGCGTGGCTCATGCCTCTGGAAGCTTGTAATGTCATGTAAAGGAAAAGCTATGCCTTGTCCCGTAATGCAGGCAGAACAAGACATGATAGATGCTAGGAAAGAGGCACAAAACGTGATATGAGGGCAACTGGCATCTCTCCATTCTAGGTGGGAAGCTGCTCGTGCCTTTCTCAGGCACCAGAGCTGAGAAAAGGGCACCATCACAATCACTGCTGGGATTCGGGCCGATGTAGTGGGATGGCCTCGGACGCTAGGACATGAGAAAACGGGGGTTTCCCGCTCCTAGTGCCCAGCCCCTTCCTCCAGACACCAAACCACCAAGCTGCGTTCCCTGCTCTTCCAGGAGAAAATCAGCTGTACCCAAAGGCTCCCCGCACGAGAGCCCTGTGGGCCATGGGTCCATCGCCCTGTCAGGATGGAAGTGATAGCAGCCGGGGCCCTGGGGTTTCTTCCTGAACTTCTCCCAGGCCTACAGCACAGCAGGGAGTGCCCTGCTCTTCAGATAAAGAAGCATAGGGTCCTCTGACACTGACGTGTGCCAGGCACTGTGCCAGCAGTTCTAGGGCAGGCGGTTGGGAACCTACAACCTACGGGCCAAATCTGGTTTGCTGCCTGCTTTTTTTTTTTTTTTTTTTTAAGATTTTTTTTGGGAATCGGGGAAGGGGAACAGACAGATAGGCAAATTGCTGTTTTTGTTCTTCAGTCTAGTTGTGGAGGATGTTGCTTCACTGGCCCATGTTGGTATGAACATTGTGCTCTTCCAGGGTGAGACAGTCAGTCGCCAGTCATTGGTCAGCCGCTCACAGTGGCTCCTGGCAGCTCACACCAGCTACCAGCCGCTCACACCGGCTACCAGCCACTCACGCTGGCTGCCAGCCATTCACATAGCTCATGGCAGCCCGCTGCAGCCCCACTGCAGCCTACACCATTGCAGGCGATTCACAGCAGCCCAGCTCCATGTTGAGCTGTTGTTCATCATCTTAGCTGTAGAGGGCGAGCGTCACTGACCCTCAATGTGGGATCCGAACCGCAGCCCTGCTGCTCAGAGCTGGTGCTCCCAAGCGAGCTCTTAACCAGCTGAGCCACTCGGCCAGCCCACTGCCTGCTCTTGTATGTGACTTTTATTGGCACACAGCCGTGCTCATCATTTATCTGCTATCTATGGCTGCTTTCACGCTACCATGGCAGAGTTGGGTAGTTGCAACAGAGAACGTATGGTTCGGTGATATTATTTCGAAGTGTGTAATAATGAGCCATAGTAGAGCAGGACTCTCCCATTCATTCTTTTAAGGACCTATGATGTGACAGGCATTATGGGGATAAGAGATAGTGATGACGATGATGATGATGATGATGATGATGACGATGACAAAATGAGTAATCATAATAGCAGCAGCAGTTGACACCTACACTGTGTTTATCATGTTCTTGACACCATTTTAAGCATTTTCTAGGCATTAGTACATTTCATCTTCATAACTGTCCTGACATGGGTACTGTTATTAGTCTTATTTTACAGATGAGGAAACTGAGGCACGAATATGTTCGGTAACTTGCCCAAACTCCTACAGTTAACTGCTCAAGCCAGGACAACTAAGAAATCATCCCTGTCTTCTAACCTACTCGGGGAAGTCAGTGTGGAAGTAGACCGTTTTAATGCCCAGTAATATTATGAGACGTTCCACGCCGTTTGGCAATGTTAGGAAAATTTTCAGTGTTTCTTTTTGATGGGGAGAAACTGGGGCCCACTCCAGGCCCTGCCTTCCAGTGCTCCCCACCGTCATCCTGTGACCAACGCAATCTTCCCTCCTTCCTTCTGCCGAGGTCAGGTTCTTGACAACCTGGACAGCCACCTGAAGAAATCCGAATACTTCCGCTTCCTCTGGTTCCCACACAGCGAGAACGTCAGTGTCATCTACCAGGACCACACCAACAAGGTAGCCCCGGGCGTCATCCCCATCTTCACACAGAGCCCTTAGTTCCCATACTCTTTCAGCTCCTAGGGCAGCCAATGCTTGTTATCATCCTAATGGTCAGTGAGACGTGGGAAGGAAAGTAAGGTGAGCGTCATTGAGCATGAGGAGAGAAGCAGAAAAGACCAGAGGGTGAAAGGAAGAAGGAAGGTGGGCTTAGTGAGGGTCCAATGTGTCTGCTGGTAGGGCTGAGTAGGGGTGAGGTCAAAGGACAGCCTTAGATGCTGGGGGTTGGGGAGCAGAGGACGCAAGTATGGGCAGGACAAGGTAGGCTAAGATAGAAACCTTAGCAACTGGGCTAGACCTCAGAAACCATCTATAATACACCCAACCTTCCCTCCAATACCCCCATCTCTCCCACCCCCAGGTGAAGAAACCAATAGTTTTGTCTCTCTCCCATGACCTTAACAGGCTGCTTCTCAGCAGAAGAAAACAAAGCCATCACTTAGATGAATGTTGACGGGACAAGTCAGGCAAAGGCCATGACACCTACTATGTGTAAGGGGTTGGAGTGGGTCTCATAGAGTGATAATTAGACACATGGGTCATCAACTCTGAAGAGGAGGGACAGATGCTTGTCTTTGTCTTCCAAAAAATAAACACATACATACATAAATAAGCAGAAATGAAAGGGAGTGGGGCATGGGAATTGACTGTGCCACCAAGAAGTGTGAGTCCTTCAGTTGTCCTGGCAGGTGAGTCATACACACATGCACGCACGCAAGCACGTGCGTGTGCGCGTGCACACACACACACACACACACACACACACACACACACTGCTGGGACACATCTCCCTCTAAGGGGACACTATGATGCACTGAACTTATCACAGTTTCTGTTTCCCAGCCTCCCTCTTCTTCTGCCAACTGGTTCTGGGACTATGCCGTTGGATTCTACTTACTGGAGTTCCTGCTCTGGATCAGGTAGGGAAGCCAGGGTACCTATTCCAGCACCTGCCATATGCTTTTGAGGATGTGGTCCATCTGAAGAGTAACGCCCCTATCTTTATGCATACAATTGGGTCTGTCTCCTGGGTCAGTGGTTTTTAACCCTGCCTGCACATTCAAATCATCTGGGGAGCTGTTTTAAAAAGACCAACGCCAGGCCCCACTCTCTGGCACACAGATGATGTGAATCTTTGTATATTGCCCTGTTTTCTACCTTTTTCCAAGCCTAAAATCTGTGCTCATGTTCAGGCTCCACGTCTGCCACTGGACATGTAACTATGAATAATGGGAAGGTTTTATGGGGCCTTGAGTGGTGATTTTATATTCAGCGTAGAAGTGGAATGATATCATACATTTTAAAAATATATATCATACATGCAAATGAATACAGGCAAGATATATTTAAAGTATAAAGAGTAATGTAATGAGTACAAATACTCAACAGCAGCTTAAGAAACAACACTAGTGTAATTGGAGCCCTCTTTGGGAAACTCCCGGATCACAGCGCTTCCCCTCAAGGAGCAACTACCACTCTGAACTTCATGCTTAATCATTCTCTTGCTTTTATTTATACTGTAGTTTTATGAACCCAGAAATAGTAAATTTGGTAGTTCAGCTTTGAGAGTCATATTTATCTAAGCGGATACGGAGAGCTCTAATTATTCATTTTTCACTGTATACCTTTACCACAATGTCCTTATCCATCTCTTGATGGATATTTGGGTTGTTTCCCGGATTCTTTGCCATTACAAACAACGTTGCTGTGAGCATCCTCGAACATTGCTCCTGGTGCATTTTTTTTGTCTTGAGTATATACTCATGAGTGGAATTCCTGGGCCATCAACTCTAAACATTTTTAGCTTTAGCAGATCAAATTCTTCTCCAAAACTGTTATACCAAGTTCACTCCTGAAGCACTGTGAGATTCTCTGTGCACCATAAGCTGGCCAACGTTGGAGCTCTCAGACTTCTAAATTTTCTTGTGATAGGTATTAAACAGTATTTCATTATGGCTTTTGATTCTCATTTCCCTGATTATTAATAAGATTGCACAGAGTTCCAGCTTTATCGATTCTTCAGATTTCTTTTCTGTGTAGTAACTATGTATTTTGCCCTTTTAAAAAATTGGGTGGTTGGGTGTTTTGTTTTGTTTTGTTTTTTTCTTACTGTTTTGTAGGGTTTTATTTACATATATTTTGAGCACTAGTCCTTTGTTGGTTATATGTGTTGCAACATCTTCTTCCTGTTTGTGTCTTGTCTTTCACTTTTATGGTGTTTTGTGGCATGTAGATGTATTTAATATTAACATAGACAGGTTATTCCATCTATTTTTTTTATCTTGGGAATTTTGTGTCTTATTAAGAACTCCTTCCCTACTGTACGATCATAAAAGCCCACTAGAGGAGGCGCTGACAATAGGACCTGGCGACCTGGCTGGTGTTCATGTCAGTTCTGGGTGTGGCTAAGACCGTTGGCAGTCTAGGTCTGAATCCAGGCATCCAGGAAGAGTCAGCCCCTTCCTTCAAGGCATCAGCTTTCTCCAGGGTAGGAAAGTTACTGGTGGCATCAGAGGAGCCCCATCTTTAGAGGCAGACACCAAACTAGGAAGGTGTTAGAAAAGTGAGGCACAAGATGTGACTTACTGGGTCTGGGCAGGGAAGGGACGAGGAGCAGTAAGTGAGCCCAGCCTGAAAGCCATTGCTCCATCAGATTACGGATTGAGCGTGAGAGTAGAAAATGCCCTGCCAGGCTTTCTCTCCAGCCTCCATCACAGCAGCTCGGCAGCTTTATGTGCATGTGTCTGTGGAGTGTGAGCACAGTGATCACTCAAAGAAATTGAACTCTAAATCTCCACGGCCACATCCCAGCCAAGGCTGGGTGCTCCGTGAAAGCTCCACAGCCTCTGAGTTCAGCCCATGTGACTTCTGGAAACTGCATTCATCTAGTCTCCTCTCTGTAGCTCTGGGCTGCTGGCTGAGCTATGTGCCTGAGGGTGCAGGAGTGAAAAGTAAATAACAGATTGGGTAACAGCCTCTCTGAACTGTGGTTTACTTGTATATAAAATAAAGCTGGTAGCAACGATTGAGTTATTAGAAAGATCCAATGTCAAGTCCACATGAAGGGTGTTCACTAGACATCACTTCCCTCCTTTTTCACAAAGGTACATGAAGGTTCCTTGTGACCCACCTGTGTGACAGAATGCAAGGCCCTGGACCCACTGGTGTTATCTGTAAACCTATACGAGGTGCTCTGAGCAGTTTGGGTGGATTTATGGCAGACAATGAGATGGCTGGAACGGGATGAGGGACAGGCCTGTAGGGAAGGAAGGGACCACTGGGCCTCTGGGCAGAGGCCACCTACAGGGATGGAGAGGGTAGTAAGTCCAGAGGAAGAGACCTGCACCGGGATTTCAGGTCCATAGATCTCAAAGCAGTCAGCCCATGCACACTTTAACCAGACCAAAGAAACCATCGAAGCCACACCGAGCCTTGTTACCAGGAATCTTTAGTGACTCCAGGAGAGGCAGGAGCTGCAGCTGAGGTGATTAGAGCTAACTGCAACCTGCTGAAATGAAAACTCTACATGCTGTTTGCCCCAATAATCTGGAAAGGGCCCTGAGCTGGCAGGAACCGAGTTTATGAGTGAGATGACTGGACAGCCCCTGACCAGCTGTCCTGAAATGAGCCTCTGGACCTGTGCCCTCTTTGGCCCCTGCCAGGACTGGTTCACTCCTTATCCCTGCCCCAAAGTGCATCTGAGGTCGGCTCTCTTGGAAGCTGCCTCTTAGCCTCTCCATTTACGGCTTGCAGCATGAGGCTCTCTGCTCTTAATGTACAGACTACAACACACGTTCAAGGACACAACCTGGAATCCTTCACCTCCCTAGACGGTTCTCCAGAGGTCTTTCCCATACCCCTATGACTTAAATCCAGGTAAAGTAGTAGGAGAGCATGGGCTTTGGGGTGTCAGTCAGACCCACTGGAATCTATGCCATAAGGACCCCGTTTATCAAATGCAGATATGTTAGCTGGTGCACACCACACATGGCACACAGTGAAGAGACCAGTGGTCCAAGTGCCTGCCCACAGCAGAAGCTTCCTTTCCCTCCCTCCCCTCCTTTTGGGCAGATACCACAGGCCTTCAGTCTGACATTGCACAGCATCAAGAAGCCTGATTTTATTGTCTTGCTAAATATCTAGGGGGGGGGCATTTAGGGTTTTTTATATAAAAGGAAAAGAAACAATCTCTCTCTCTCTCTCTCTCTCTCTCTCTCTCTCTCTCTCTCTCTGTGTGTGTGTGTGTGTGTGTGTGTGTGTGTGTGTAAGTATAGATTTTGAAGAATATGACTTGGTAAGTTTCCTAAATCAAAAGCCAGGAGACAGCTCCTTCCTGGCCCAAGAAGTACAGAGCCTTCCTTTTGCAATTACTTGGATGGTTCTAGCATCATTTCCAGACACAGGAATCTGTAAGCTGAGACCCCATCCTAGGATACTGGTCCCCAGTGGCCACTTTCAACAATCAAGCCTTCCCAGGATGGCCATATGTGGAAGGAAAGTGAATTACTACAGTCCTTATGGAAATTAACCTGGTTGCAACCTGCTGAAATTAAAACTCTACATGCACTTTGCCCCAATAATCTGGAAAGGACACAAGTAAAAGATATTTGTTATTATGGTGTAGCATGTCGTGACAAAACACTGAAAACAAATGTTGGTGAGGACGTGGAGAAATTGGACCCTGGTGCACTGTTGGTGGGATTGTAAATTGGCGCAACCACATGGGAAACAGTACGGAGATTCCTCATAAAGTAAAAATAGAGCTGCTATATGACCCAGCAATCCCACTAATAAGTATATATTTATAACAATTGAAAGCACAGCCTCAAAGAGATGCTCGTATGCGCACACTCAAGTTCACAACAGCATTATTCATAATAGCCCAGAGGTGGAAGCAACGCAAGTGTCCATCAATGGATGAGTGGATAAACAAAATGTGGTGTATCCATACCGCGGAATGTTATTCAGCCTTAAAAAAAGAAGGGAATTCCAACACATGCTACAAATGGATGAACCCATGCTCAGTAAAATAAGCCAGACACAAAAGGACAAATGCTGTATGATTCCACTTATATAAGGTTTCTAAAATAGTCAAACTCATAGAAACAGAAAGTAGATGGAGGATTACCAGGGGCTGGGGGAGGAAGGGAACAAGGAGCTGTTTTTTAATAAGGAAGAATTTCAATTTTGCAAGACTCTGGAGATCCATTGCACAACGATGTGAATGTACTTAGAAATGTTTAAGATGGTAAATTTTGTTATGTGGTTTGTTGTTTTTTTAACGATTTTATTGAGGAATTGGGAAGAGGAACAGTGTTGGGGAAC